TAGCCTGCATTTTTTAAGTGCCTGACATTTGTTGGGATTTGTTGTGTTTTATAGATAAGATTCAATTGAATTAAGTCAACCCCAATTTAATTCAATCGACCCAGTTGGGAATAAGCAGTATAGAAAATGGATGGATTCATTTAGTCATATGAATAATTTACTTGAAATCTTATAAGCCTTTTTGTATTATATTAAACACTGACCAGCTCTCAGAGAAATAGATGGAACTACAAATCAAAGCACCAGTTTGACTATGAAAAAATAATATTAAGCCAAAGTTAGAAGCTCTCTGCTACTGCAAACTCTGTATAAACCATCTTCGTATCAAAACAAATCTAACACTTGTGAGAACTCATCAGAGGTGTAAAGCTTACTGACAATACATGGGAACACAGAGAAAATAAAGGATTTATTCATTTCCTTTTTGTAATATAGTACATGAGGCCTTACAAAACCCCTGCAGAGGACTCAAACTAAAACTAAAACCACAAAAATCAACATAGCTACTTTCATTTTCCGTCTTTGCTTATTTTTCAACTGCGTTTGGTGGCCATAGAAAAGGCTTTTGTGAGCATTTATCTGATATTCTGATGTTTCTGTATGTGCCTCTTTATCTGTTTACGCCAGTTACAGTGGGCCTGATATTTGGGCATTAGGGTTCAAAACATAAAGTGTCAAACTATTGGACATGGGCTAAGAATGACCATTTCTGTTGTCTGTGTCACCCTAAGTGACAGTGATTTTCCCTTAGTGGACATTAGGCTCTCAAGTTATTTTTATGGCATAGCGAGCAGGGGACATTTGTTGTTCGAAATAATGGACCAATGTAAAAAAACAAAAGAAAAAACAGTAAACTCTTGCAGTAAACATGAAATTGTTTTCTTCGAGATGATAAAGTTAAAATTCATAATGGAATACATGCAAGTACAAGGGTTTTCTACGATCTTGTACAGATTAATTAATGTCAGTGTTTGGTCAATGTACCCACAGTGGAGATGGGTTGTAGGCCCCCCACACACCCCAATTTTATCATGCAGGTTGGACAGATTACATATTTCTCCCAATATGAAATACCTCATCTATATTGCCAAAAGTTACAAGTGATGAGAAGCGCATGATTTATTTATTTTTCATCAGACTAATTATGTCTGCATCAGTTTGCTTAGCAAAGTAACACATCTCCCTTTAAAAGTAGGCGTGAAAAAGAGGGCTGAATGAATCAACACAGAATTCCACTGAGTTGACATCCCATCACAAGATCAGCGTGCCAAAGAACAATGCAGCACATAAAGAGTCCCCATTTGACCTAAAATATATGTTAGGTCGATTGAGCTATACACACACACACACACACACATATACACATTTATGTATATATATATATACATATATATGGAATACCAATCTAGAATTGTCTACTTTCAGAATTGTTCTCATTGAAAAAAGACAGAAATAAAAATGTTTTAATTTCAAAACCCAAAGAAAAGCTCCTTTCACAGCTTGATATAGTTAAAGGTTCGCTCCTTCTGCTGAGATGTCATGATGTCAAGTGATCATCACCACCTCACAACAAATTACAGCCATGTCATTTTCCGTGAGCTGCGGGGCCAAAACTGCTGAACCAAGTGACATCTTGTGGACACTGAAGGTTGTCACAGAAATAGACACAGTAAAGATTAGTACATTTATTGCCTGTACCTCATACCGTCCCAGTAGGGTCTCAGGAGAGGCTGGAACCCAGTCCAGCTGACACTGGACCGGGGGGGGAGGGGGTCACACCCTGGAGGGGTGGCCAGTCCACAACAGAGGTACAGATAGAAAAAAAAACTCCACACAGGTACTATAGATCCAATTTAGAGTTTTCAGTTAACCTAACATACAGGGACATGCAAACCCCACACGCCAGTGAAAGACCAGTGGAACCCCCCCCCCCCAGGGAGTCCAACCAGGAGCTCTTTTGCTGTGAGGAAATGGTGCTAAACACCACATACCATGCCGGCCTTACTATAAAGATTAAAAGGTAAAAGAAAATAACATGGAAAAATGTTATTTTTCATGACCTTTTTATAGCTTTTCCCCATTTTCCTTTGATGTATTGTGTAACTTTGTAACAAAATAATTTTTGGGAGTCAGTTAACAAACAGATTTCTTGATGGCCTTCAAAATTTCAGTCACATTTTGAATCTGTGCAGAGTCAAAGTTTTTCTCTATGCAATTCTGAGGCTAACAAAGCAAAGAGAGTGGGACCTGAAAAAATGTGGACGTGAAAAATTTAAAGCATGCTCAGAATGACTGGGAAAACTCTCCCAACATGACTCATGACTTTTCTGCTCATCTCGCCTGACTGCCCACTTCTCAGTGTTGCAGCTTAAGGCCAAAAGTCCCCACCCTCTGAAATGACAAAAAGCCTTTTTTTCTTCACTGTGAACTCATTCAACAACAAAAAAAATGAAATTCTCATCAATTTGATAGCAGCGTGTTGTTTTATACGGCCTAAAACATTTTACATTTTCGCTTGTTTATCGTGTTTTTCAGTTCCGCTTGCTTGTCTTATTTTTCATATTGAAGATTGTCAATTTATTTACCCTGCAAAGGTAAGGAAGTGTGAACAGAGAGGAGGTTTTCACTTCTGCAAAAATCTTAATTTCCTCAAAAGATGGGCACAGTTTTTGTAAACTAAATGTTTTACTTGACACACACACAAAAAAAAGTTAATGTTGGAATGTGTCCTAAAAGTTTGGTCATTTTGATGTGAACAAATCCTTAATGCCATATGGTTTTTAAGACCATTTTGTTCATTTAAACTAAATGCCTTATCATTTTCTCAGTAGGATCATTCTCTGTGCCTTTACATTGAAATTACGCATTATAAAAAATTTTTTTAAAGTTTTCAAAACTCTACTCAAACATACACCAGACAAACATATAAAAGAGAAGGATGCAAAACCTCTCCCTTGTTTACAGAAATAAAACTACTCCAAAAGCTCATGACTTGCCTGGTATTAAAAAAAAGTAATACATTTCATAAAATATGATGATAAAAGGCTGAATTCCACATGTGCTAAACCAAGGCACATTTCCCAATACTGTGAAACCCATTCATACACTCCTCCTTGAGTCTTTTACCTCTCCCTGTTCCCATGGCAATGGAGGGCCGGGGTGATCTGACTATCTGAAACCATGAAAGCCCAGACAAACCTGTTCTCCGGGCTAGCACAAAGGATTGACATCCAAATAACAGCCAAGGTGGGGTGACAAAATACCTTTTGTACACTTCATCTCTGCTCTAGAAGCATACAAAATACCTTTTGTACACTTCATCTTTGCTCCTGAAGCCTCCTGGACCGGGCAAAACACCCCCAATTGAACTTTCTTCAATTTCCTGAGTACAAGATTGTTAAGATGCATTGTATTAAAAATAATTATGTGTCAGATTTATCTGATGCTATAGTTCCATCTCATTTATTTAATTTTTTTTTATTTTTAAATCAAATTAATTGGATAAAGTTCAAGGTTACATTTCTTAAACAATCTTAAAATTAAAGACCCACATAGGCTTAAATAGGAGAAGTGTAATAAAATACTAGGATTTACAACAAGACAGCTGTTTGGAATAAAACAAAAAAAACCCTTGTGGGTTCTCGATTTATATTGAGCTCAACTGAAACATGAAGCAAGGAGTCTGTGCAGCAGCCGAAACTTTATCCACGGTGCCAGTGCGCCCTGTCAAAACATTGCCAAGCCCACGAAAATAGACTGAAATCCAATTCCGGTTTGAGATTTTCAAAATAATACGGCTTTTTCAGGCACTTCGAAACTGCATCTTTAGCCTCACTGGAAAAAACAAAGAGATACATTCAATTTCAGTTTAATTTTCTTTCCATCCATCAGTCTTTTTTTGTCATAGGCATTGCATTTTTCTTATTTTTTCCAATCTGTTGATTGGACTTTTCCAATGCCGCAACCCATGTGAAATAAACAAATAATTCTGTTTTTTTTATGAAACAACAATAAACTACAACTATAAAGTAACAAGAAGTGTCAGTGTCTCAACATAGACCACTTTGGCTCTTCTTACTTTAATGGATACACTGTTATATTTCATTAATATCAATATAGTGCCTGAAATCGCAGTTGCAAGACTTGTGATTGTGGGGATTCTCCTGTAAACAAAGAAAATTAGTTATTCGGTAATGTAGTATGTGTCTGAAATAAGTTTTCATTATATGGACAAAGAGAATATAGTTTGAAAGACTCGGTTAGTGAAAAAAAAATAGGGGGAAAAAAGGCAAACGTCAATGAAAACACCGAAACTCTCCTTTGACTCTGTCACCGGTTCGGCGGGAAACGGCGGGCTTTTATTTTCTTGTTTCCTCCCGCCGACTTCCGCCGCGGCCGCGGTGGCTCGCCGCCGCCTTTCCGCGGCGTGGCCCCGGGGCCGCATTCCGCTTCCCGGGCAGGCAGGAAGCGCATTCCGCCGGAGTTTCCCGGACGGCAGGTTCTTCCCGGTGCGGAAGGTTTTTTTTTTTTCTTTTCCGGACGTTCAAACTCCGTGACCGGTGGCGGCTCGTGGCAGTTTGCCTTCGGCCGCGCGCGCGTGGATCGGACAGCGGACGGGGAGCGGGAATGGATCAGCGCGCGGAGCCTGCGCCGCCCGCGCGGAACAACGACGCTCTGATTTAGAGGTAAGACGCGCACCATCCCAAACTGATCCTGAACAAACTCGTGAGTTTATGGATATAACGGGAAAGGATTTCACACAAAGATAAATTAACTGAATTCGTATTGCTCAACTCGTTTCCCACTCCATTTGGAATTACACCTGAGGACGCACCTGTCCGTACAGCATCTTGAATATTCAAATTTGTGGTGAATAATGCTCTCAGGACGATAATAACACAGTTAAAAGGGGACAAAAAGTGTATTAATAAAGAGTTAAAAAATCATTATCACGTTTTAATGTATTGTCCAGGAACAGTCCGGTTTCAGAGGCGTGGTCCATGGCGGGCTGCGGGAGGTGGTGCCGCCGCGCGTGCGTGTGCTGCCTGTCGGACGACGAGAAGATGACCATCGCCGTGGACAAGGAGATCAACAAGATCCTCAGGCAGCAGAAGAAGAAGGAGAGAAGAGAGATCAAGATCCTCCTGTTAGGTCAGTCGCTGGGTCAGAGGAGGGGTCACGCTCTGACCAGCAGGGGTGGGGGTGGGGAGGCCAACAAACTCTGAGCCCATTCCCTTTTTAAGCAAGTAAAACACACTTTCTTCACCCAGAAGATTCCAGACCCACTTTTTTCCCTAAAGGGAAATGATGGGCAACATAAATTTGACCAAATGAACCCCATTTATGACATAACAAAATCACGTACCACCACAAAAAATCAAAGATTTATGGTTTCCAGAAGTTCTATCGCCCATTTTTAACAAATGTATTTACATTTAAAGATGCTTTTACGGCTGTGTCACTACATGTTCCTATGGATTAAAGCACGGTAATCGTTTTTAGCCCATAAAGGTCATAAACTATTGTCATTTTCTCCTGGAAAAACAAAAAAATATCACCCATTCGTCGATCATATGACATTTGCCAACAATTTCAAACAGAACAGACATAACAACAGATGTTTATCGACATACAAACGACGAGGTCAGTCAAACGTGGACCACGAGAGAATGAAAGCACTCTGGGAAACAATTCGAACGTGCCTTTGTGACTTAGGCAGCTGTTTTAAGAGGGTGAGGCCTATAAAGGACGCCCCTCTTAATGAGGCCTGACCTGTGTGGTGAAGCATGTGGGTCCCTGTGGGCTCTACCTGTTGGTACGAAACCTGTAGACCTGCTTGGAGGTATTTATCTGGTCCGGCCACGATGCCAAAGATTAGAGAAGAATCTGCATACCAACCACTTCCTGGGTAGGTGCCTACAGGACAGGGTCCATGGTGAAGCCATGACTGTAGTCTTTGGAAAACCTCATCAATGCTTTATTACTAGTTTCTGACATTTTCACTGAGGTTTTAGTTCACCGTTTCAACAAAATCACAAAAATAATTGAATAAAACCAACTTGCCTGCGTCATTAAAACAGAAATTCAGAAGTATAACTCCCCTAAAGTCACCCACATTTTTCAAAACACGACCACAAAAGATGCTTTTTAAATGTTTGAACGGTTTATTTAAATTAAGATTTCGTTTGTTTCCGGAATAGTTGTTGAGAAAGGTGTTTTTGTGTTGCATCATTCCTTCTTCTTACAACACTGGAGGGCTCAGGGGGCCGGGGACTTTACTTAAGGGAGGAATTTAGCCGCTTGAAAGCTGAGTTAGCTGGATTTTTCACCAGTGAACGAGACAAATCTGGTTTATCTAGTTTGTCATCAGGAAACTAAGCAGATAGCAAATAACCTGTGATTGCCTGCAGGGAAAGCCCAAAGCCAGATCCCGTAAAACACCGCCCCTGTATTACTGTCCTGTCTTATTGCCCAAATCAAAACAACAAGTCAAACAGCATTAAATGTCAGCCATCTTTTTTTAACTTGTCCTCCTTTGTGATATGTGGCTTTTTGGAAAGCGTTTGGAAATGACAGCAGCAATGACGGGGGAAGAGCTTTGTTTTAGAGCTTTTCCATCAGTTGAGGTGATACTAGATCACTTTCTCTGTCTGTACTTTTGTGTTAGACGATAAATAAAGCAAGCTGTGCTCTCTCAGTGTCTAACCGACACCAGGCTTTTTTCACACACTCAGAATCTGGGTCCAGAGTGAACCAGAAAGGGCTAAATGGGCTTTTTGTGGCAGCGTCTGTTCGCCACCTTTTTGTTCTGCTCGGCCTCAGTGGACTTTCTTTGAGAGCTTGCCTTTTCACTTCGCAACCAGTGAAGGAACTGTGAATCGTGTCGATATATTTGGGCCAACAAACGGCTGAAACAGATAAATCTTTGAACAACCGCAGCAGCTCAGACAGACACATCTTTACAAAATAATTATATCCTCTATAATATTTGCAGAGATTGTTTGGATCTAAGCCTCTAATTCAAAACTATGATCCGTTCTTAAACTGTAATTTAAACTAATTTAGCTTTGTTAAAAGTGTTATTTTAGATGATGCTTTTACTTGTTAACTTTAGTTTTGCTGCCTCTCAAACGTTCTCACCATGCAGCAGTCTTCTTTCAAACAAAAGTAGACTACGTTTGCTTTTAAATCTGCTTTAGTCCACGAGTGTTTAAAGCTGTTTGAAACCAGTACAGATAAATCCAGACAGGCCACAAACGTATCGGTGTGGTATTATCATCGATACTCTGACATTGTTGGATAATCTCATTGAGTGTAATGTAATAAATCGTCACTTTTTAGCTGCGAAATGCTCCAAACTGTGGATGAAGTGTCACTCTTAGAGGCTGGTGCATCTGATGGGGATTCCTCCCTGTGGAGTGCTACTAATCAGGAGGAGGCTCAGGTTCACACCCAGAGCCCACAGGGGGGGATCAGGTATCTTTCTTTGGTCTGGGAATATCTCAGGACCCCCAAGGGGGATCCAGGGGGCATCACAGGGGAGAGGAATGTCTCTCTTTTACTGCTGCACGACAGCAGATAAACAAGATGAACACAGTTTTTGCTCTGCTTTGAAATCTGACCTCGTTTGAGATTGACATTACAGTCTTTAAGTCTAATTTAGAAATACCAACATTCTTAAAACTATTATTTTAAAGTGTCATAATATCTGTGTGTGGTGTTTAGAATTGCTATTTGCTTCTGCCTTTACTAAATTGACATTATTTTTTGCTATCTTCCTGAGACCTGAGCTTTTATTGTATGTTATGTGCTTTTATGGATAATACGTGTGAATTTATTGCTTTTTTAAAGATATCTGGGACCAGTAGGACCTAATAAGATCAATTACTAGACTTTGTCCTGGTACAGGTAGTTTTTATTCCTATAGGATTAGTGGGTTTATCTTTAGTTTAAATGTATGTTTATATATTTAATTAAAGGTTTTTGCAATTTGGTGTAAAATATCTAAAACCATTTTACTTTAGATGTCAAACATTAGTGTCTGATAGCATCTGCTATGAGGCCAAGAGGTCAAAGGTCAAAGGAGCAAGAAGGATCCTGGTAAAGAGAGGCAGAAATGCAGCGTCTTCATATGAGAAAAGGCTCTCAGCAGGCTATAGAAACATGTATCTTCTCTTTTACCTTCCTTACATTTTGTGTATTTCCCCTCTTTTGCCTCTTCAGGAACTGGGGAAAGCGGCAAAACCACCTTCATCCGTCAAATGAGGATCATCCACGGCCGGGGCTTTTCAGAAGAGGAGAGGAGGGCATTCTCCAAATGCATCTTCCAGAACATCTTCAGCGCCGTCAAATCCATGACGGCGGCCATGACGGCGCTCCGAATCCCTTATGCAAACCCTGAGAACGAGGTAGACACCACCCCCCCCCCACACACACCTGGCTCCCGTCCACATCTAGGGAAGGGCCATTCCATGCAGTCACGCAGAGACACCCAGTGTGTCGCCGTCTATAAATAGATCCTAGCATCAGCCATTGTCTCTCTCTCTCTCTCTCTCTCTCCTCTAGATGTACGCCAACTGGCTCCAGGACGTAAACGCCGTCCACGTCACCCATTTGGAGCGGAGATATGTGGACGCCATCCACCGCCTGTGGGCAGACTCCGGAATACGGGTCTGTTACAGCCGCCGCCGCGAGTACCAGCTCCTGGACTCCACCGAGTAGTGAGTAACCTGGGCCGGGGACAAAAAAACGCACCACACCCCGGGCTCAAAGCAGTCTTAGCGGAGATCACATGACCAAACGTGACGGAACACCCACAGCGTGCAACTAACTGGTGAAAAACAGCAGTGTGTGTGTAATAAAAAAAAGGAAATGTCCCTTTAACGCAATAACACACATGATATGAAACAATTAACAACACTTTAGACATCACATTTTTCTAAAGGATAAAACACGAGAAGTGTATTTTGCCAATATTTTTCCTTTTGGATTAATCGTGAAATCAACATATAGTTTTCATTCAATGTTATACTATGTAAAATGATGATAATTTGTTATGGTTTCAACTTTTATTCAGATTTAAACTATTTTTTTACTCTGAGTTTGCTTTATGAGTTGCATTCGCAAATTTTAATACTGAATATTAAAGAAACAAGAGGCAAAATGACTTAACGTGACAGGAGAAGTTGCCAAGTACAGTATAAACAGCATGAATTGAAACATTTCAAGAACCACAGGTCCAAACCAAACCTCCCCGATCAAAGCTAGCCGCCTCAGGACCAGGCCTGAATAAAATGGAGGCAAGAAGACACCAGCTTAATGTCTGCAATAAAGGAAGGGCATAGCTTCGATATCAGCTAATTTATCGCAAGAGAACACACTGCAGCCCTTTGTACAAACACACACGCACAAGTTCTAATTAACATGCGCCTCTGTCAGCTCTATGGTATCCTACTTTTAGAGTTCCTACTTTGACGATAGATTCGGAAACGTGTGACATTTAAGGGATTCCGGGAATTAAACAGGCCGAGTCTTCTTTTTTTTTTTAGGTCTTGTGAAGTCAGATTTTGAAATTCTGACAAAAACCTTTAAATGTCACAATGCAGAGGTACCCCCAAGGGGTGATCCTCAGACAGTCCTGCGGGGGGGGGGGCGCTGTCATGCAGGTTTTGGAAGTCCCCCCCCCCTTTCAGCTTCAGAATACCTGTTTTTGATTAAACGGAGGAGTTCAAAAGCTCTGGGCCGGGCTGATAATGGCACGTTGACATGAATCAGGTGTGCTGAAGCTGGGGGGGGGGGAGTGTTGTCTCTCTTTTCTGTTGCCGTCCTGTCCTGTGTTTGCCGGTCGGCTCGTGTGTGCCCACGATAAGAGACGGCCAGTCAACACCGGCTAATGACGGCCCGTATCAACCGGTGTCATAAAGCCGTCATCTGAGCCGAGGAGGACTCCACACCTCTTTTTTCTTCCTGTTTTTTAATCACCGTTTCCCTCTCATCACTTGTTCCTCGCGGCTTTTGCCCCTCCGTTTTGTTTTTACATGATAGAGTAAACACGGGGCCATATGTTTGACTATCAGGCCTGGCAGTAATCTTCTCGTCTGTCCCTCTCCGGGCTTGGTCTCTCTCAGCTACATCACCAGCCTGGACCGGATCTCGGCGCCAGACTACATCCCCACCGAGCAGGACGTGCTGCGGGTCCGGTTCCCCACCACGGGCATCCACGACTACTCCTTCAACATCAGTACCATCACACTAAGGTGACCAGTCCTCCCGAGGACTAATCCAATACTGACTCCATTCACTGCACTGTAAAAAAAAAAACAAAAAAAACCCCCACACATTTGACTTTTACGTGGTCAAATGGTGGTGTGGTTGTTAGCACCATCGCCTCACAGCTAGAGGGTTCTGGGTTGGAGTCCCTGGGGGAACCGGGACCTTTCTGGGTGGGGTGGAGTCTGCATGTTCTCCCTGTGTCTGTGTGGGTTCTCTCCGGGTTCTCCGGCTTCCTCCCACAGTCCAAAAACCTGCATGTTAGGTTGATTGGACATTCTAAATTGCCCTTAGGAGTGAGTGTGAGTGGTTGTTGGTCCTTGTGTGTCTCTGCGTGACCCTGTGATGGACTGGTGACCCCGCCTCATGCCCATTGACCACTGGGTTGGGCTCCAATTTTCCCCGCGACCCCATTAAGGAATAAGCGGTTACGATAATGGATGGATGGATGCCTCTGTAAAGACCTTCAACCGGGAAGACAATCCAAATAACCCACCATCTGAACAGAATTAAAACACTGTCATGACAAAATGAAAGTGTTTTGTTTTTTTTAAACAGAGCAGCCAGTCCAAAATTGAATTAATCATAGTCTGGTCATTAGCATGCCTGCTATATTTTAGAACGCACCGACATTTGGAGAAAGCAAAGGAGATGTTAGCCTCCTTTCATAAAACCGTGTTACATTAAAAGCGGTATTTTGTTAATGTGAAACACTTCTCCACCCACTTCACTTTCTGGCCTATTAGCAGCTGAAAGTGTTTTGGGGGTGTGAGAGCTCGGAAAACACCACGTTTTTAGCTATACTAGATTTCACAAATGACTGTTATTAATATGCAAACAAAGATAATAAAGCACGAAGGTCTAAAAGAGGGATGATGCATGCAAACTGTATTGACAATCTTTCATAAAAAAAAAAGTCTATCATACCTAGTACTTACTTTTCATGCTCGCCCCCATCTCCTCTCTTCTGATAGGATCGTTGACGTAGGGGGTCAGAGGTCGGAGCGTCGGAAGTGGATCCACTGCTTCGAAAATGTCACGTCGCTCATCTTCCTCGCCTCCCTCAGCGAGTACGACCAGTTCCTGGAGGAGAGGGAGGATGTGGTGAGAGCATTGGGGTTTTTGAAAACTGCTGCAAAGGGTGAAGAAAAACAACAGGAACTACAGTCTCAGTTTGTTTACTAGAGCCCAGTAATTTATAATTCTACTTTATGGTGGTATTTCTATTGGCATGCGCAAAGAAATTTAAAATTAGATTATTTCTACTGGTGCATTGATACAGATCTAATGAATTGTTTGCGCTTTTTTTCTTCTGCAGACGTGCGGGAGTAGAAATTTTGACATGTTTTATTAATTGAATAAACACGTTCAAGTGATTTTTACTTAGCCTTCGGCTTTCCAAATGATTTCCCCAGTGAGATTCTGAACTATCTTGGAGACTATAGTTCAAAAGCTTTGTCACATTTGTTACTTGAACTTTGAATTAATTAGCAATTTTGACTTTTTCAGCTAAATGTTAACATATTTCCTCTAATCCTACTGTAAAACATTAGAATTTAGTATTTTTGTCTATTATTTTTCTATTTTCTTACTATTTTGTAATCATATCATGAATTCATGAATATATATATATACATATGTATATATATATATATGTATAGAATGTCATCATTTTATCCTTTGTAAGCATTTACATGCTCTCTGTTTGAGATAAAACTCTTCAGTAATTTCACAGTTGGACCAGCAGGTTTTGCTCTTGCACAAGATATCTCTTCTTTTCTGCCTCTGCTCTGATCCCCTGGTTGCCTGTTCTTCCTTCATATCCTGTCGCTAAGCTGTTTATCTCTCCTAGACACTTTTTGGCCTGTCACCACATTCATTAACCTCCACGGTGGTCTGTTTGCTCCAGAAGCCCCATAAGCGTCTCCACCTAGTCTGTTGAAAGAACCGCTTATTTATTTGACCAAAATCCATAGCTATCCATTAAAACTTTGATGAAACTCATCCTTAAAACTGTTTTCTGTGTTAAAAACAACCTGATTTAGTTCTTTTTATGGGTAAAAGAAAATAAATCTGACGTTGTGTCTTCCTCAGAACCGCATGCGCGAGAGTCTGGATTTGTTTTCCACCACCATCCATTCCCAATGGTTCTTCAACACCTCCATCATTCTCTTCCTCAACAAGACTGACATCCTGGCTGAGAAGATCCAAACCTCAGACATGGCAAATTACTTCACGAGTTTCACAGTTAAGTTGGATTTTGTATTGGTTCAATATTAGAGCAGAAACTAAAAATATAACAACTGAATTCATGAATGGATCAAAATTCTACTGATTCTTTTTTGGGTTTTTTCCATCACGAAAATATATTTAGGACAGAATCTGCAAATGTTTTAAATATCAGCATAGTTTAGACTCTTATATAATCAAAGGAACATTCAATGATCTATTTTCCAACTTTGTTTGTACCTGGTTAAATCGTAACTTTTGATCGTGCGTATTTGAGGGTGTCGTTCGGCTAAAATCGTGTTGGGAACACAGACGTAACGTGAATCAAGAGATATTTCTGAAGCTGTTCCAACATCCAGACGAGAAAACGGCTGCAGTGAAGGAGGCTGGGGCTGCTTATTGGATTTTCCTGCCATCAGCGGGCACAGCTCGGGCTGATTGTCGGCGGTGGCTTATTCCCATCACAGAGTGGACATAATCACGCCTGAGACAGGGGGGCTTTGATTTTGTTTTGCCTCCGACAGCTCATAAGGGGCATGTTGCTCTCACTCTGTGGCCGAGCTAATGTATACTCTCAGATAATATTTGCAAAACCATTCAAGCCCTGCAGGGATTTTCTTGACTGACGGAGATTTTCCTCCATCACCGTCCACAAACCTTTCTTACTTTCTGTCCTCTCTATTGTTTCTTTTGCACTTTCCCTCCGTCTTTTCCTCCAGATTTTCCTCCTTTTGTTCCGTCTCTTTTCCTCGTCAGTTGTAAACAAGCCTTCTGGGCGCCCTAATGATGAGGCTCTAGCCTTTACCTCCGTCGGTGTGAAAGCGCTCCCCACATCTCCATCACTGCCGCCCGCTCTCCCTCTGTTACCCGTGGCAACTACAGACAGATACTTTGCTCTCTGCGAGCCCCCCCACCCCAATAACCCCACCCCAGACGCACGCGTGTGCGGTGTGTCTGTGTTTGTCGAAGGAGGTGGTTGTTTAGCGGCTGGATGCAGACATTTGCAAGTGTGTGTGTGTGTGCGTTCGCGTGTGTGTGTGTTCCATCCACTGCGTTTTACCACTAGCATTAGCAGGCACAGTAATGACTCATACAGGGTCAAGCTTCTTGATGTCAATTTAACCTGAATGACAACTCGGAGCGGCTCCTACTGCCGGCTGCTATTTGCCGGTAATGCCGCTGTGTGTTTGTGTGTGTTTGTGTGTGTGTGGAGACTTTGTGGCCCTTATTATTGCAGTTAGACCTGTATTTGAAGCCCGTAGCTCTGGCGCTGCTTGTTTTTTTATGGGTAAAAAAAAAGAAAAACAGAACTGAAAAAGGTCTAAAAATAAATCCAAAACCATTTTTATTATTACCAAGAACTAATTCCAGTCCGTCCTTTCAGATACTGTGAAATAAACATACAAACAGAAAGCCATGAGTTGAAAATCTCAGAAAATATTGTATCGGGCATAGAAAAGAGAATATTTAAAGCAAGAATGTGCTATCTAATGAAAACTATTATTGAGTCTTTTTTTCTTTCGATAGCAGCAGTAGCATAAAAAAGTGTGTGTAGCATCACAGGGGGGTGATGCTAGGTGAGGGAGGCAGCATCGTGTCCAGAAACATCAATGAACTGAAGTGACCAGCTGTTAGGAAGAAGTCCAGTCAGTGCATGGTGAACTTTGTACTCACCCAGGGATTTCTGGAAGGGTTCCTAAGGTCCACGCATAGATTTCAAAGACAGAATCATCTCTGTTTTTAATGCCCTGCTGCCTGAGGACAATTTTAAATACTGACCGGATGTAATCTTTGGGTTATATTATGGATTTAGGGTGATGATTGTGCGTGAGGAACATTCAAAGTGAAAAACAAGATTCTGAGATTGCTCTAAAATGTCTTGCTGTTTGGCAGATTGCTAAATGTGTTTCCATCTGTCCTGCTCAGATGTTCTGCATCTTACAAGTGTAACTTTTGTTAACCAGTCATGTTTGTGAGCCGTTTCCAGTTTAGATAGGCTAAACCTGTTCCTCCGAGTGTTTCTTTTTAATCTTCAGGGTGTAGTTTAATTCCGAGTGTCAACATTGACTCATGGCCTACTTTGTGTAACCCGAACCCATCTCTCCCGATGACCTCACAGGCCGGAGGCGAGACCCCGAAGCGGCCAAGAACTTCATCCTCAAGCTGTACGAGCAGAGGGCGGTGAACCACGAGAACCGGGACGAGTGGAAGACCCTGTACCCGCACTTCACCTGCGCCACCGACACCAACAACATCCGGAAAGTCTTCAGCGACGTCAAAGACACGGTGCTGCTCAAATCCCTGCGAGACTACGGGGTCATCTAAACGGCCCGGAAACCAACGGGAACGTTTTTATCTGGAGAACGGGACAGCCAGACAACAACCTCCTCCTCCTCCTCCTCTCCCTCTTTATTAGGTCTTAATTAAGGAGCAGATAGAGATAGAGGGTATTTTCTCTCGCCTTCATCTCCATCACGTCTCCACTCTCTGACACTGAAGTAGAAGACAGGAATGTAGGGGGACTCTAATCACGCACATCTTTCTCAGCTTGTAGTTTTTTTCGTCCTTTTTTCTTCTAGATGAGGAGGCGTCCGGGTCACGCCGCGTGTGAACCGGTCCATGATTGAAACGGGGGCAGGCACTCGGCGAAAGCGCCGCGCGGCCGTTAAAGCTTTAATGACTTTCAGAAGCAAAAGACGGGGGCCACGCGAGGACTAAACCGCCGCTGTTGTGAACAAATGAGAAGTTTTAGGGGTTTTTTTTCTAGACGCGGGCAGATATGTTTAAAGCTCACACACAAACTGTAAAGGCACAATGTGACTTCTGAAGTCCACGTCCTCCCAAATCTTGAGTCTGTTTATCACAACACACATATTTGGACACGTCTGAAGATTTTCATCATTGAGGAGGACTGATTAATATTCTCTAAACTGTTGATCTTCTGTAGATAAACAGATGTTTTCTAATAGGTGTGCCTTAATATGGTGCTTAGAGTTATTTTCTGCTGCCAGTATATGTCAACACTATCAGAAAAAAACTGTTTAAGTAGTTTAAAGAGGACTTCCGATGGTACTTTTCTTATTTCTATACCTGTATGATTAAATAGCTTTAACCTTCCAATCCGTCTGACCATCTTTTGGTGAATTGAATCAGCCATTTGGATTTTAAGTGAAGAACAAGGGTGAAACCTAATTATTACTATTAAGACCATTAAGAGACATTAACTTAGCCAGTTTGCTAATGATGGTCCAAGAATAACTGCATGAAATAAGCCGAAGCTGATAAATCTGCAAAAGTGCCTCAGAGGAGCGTGAAACTAAAAATTCTAACTTGAGGCAGCTGAACTAAAAATCAATGCCAATTCCCGTCCTATTCGCACTATGAGTCCTTTTAAAAGAGTTTGATTACCTCTGTTGAGTTAAGGTGAAGAATAATTATATAACGCGGCCACTTCTTCCAAAATGGACGCCAGAGGAAATCATTTCCGCCCCGTGTGTGTCGTTCATTAGAGTGTATGGAACGGAAAATGATTGAGTGACCTGGACATGAAGCTCAGGTGAGCTTGGGGTGTCGGTTACCAGTTTGCAAAGTGCCTTCAAACACAGAAATGTGTGAGTTTTTATTTAAAAACATTTCTTTCCCAACTACTTTACACTCACTTTCAACTGAATTTAACAGTAACAATGACCAAATCCACATAAACTGTGACTGTGACTGCAGAGGGAGCTTCTTTTTTCGGCATTGGGTAAACTCCTCTCATATGGTGACAGTCTATATTTTTTTTGTGTACACTTTGGTGGAGGAAGAGTGTAACGATTTTTTTTTTCTAGTTAATATTAAAAACTTTGAACGCACTATGCCTGCTTCCTTTTGTTGGTCTTCCATGTCTGTGTTTTGTCTGTGAGGCTGAGACAACAAGACAAAGGATGACTCACAAGCTCACAGAGTCTGAAAATCTGAAAATTAAACACCGTAGGATTTGCATTGGAAAAACAAACGTCCACAACACCCATTTAGACGCATGTGTGTGTGTGATGCTGACCCAGAAAGTGTCTGTGTGAGAAGGTTTCACCTCCAAAAAAGCAAAAAAACAAAACAAAACAGAGTGTTTCTCTGTGCATTGGCAGTTTAGGAAGGAGGCTGTCATACGTTTTTTTTCTAATCAGCAAATGACAAATCACATACTGCGCACATAGCACAACAAAAAAGCAAAAAGTTAAAGTCCTGTGCACGCTAAAGAAAATGGGCACGTTGCATGTTACTTTTATTGTGAATTTGTAAACATTATGCTCATTACTTTAGCACATCAACCTGCAATATTCTTTCCATGCATGGGTTTGAATCCCCACTGGAGTGAATGCTCCCTGGTTTAGTGGTCAAAGATTTCTCAATTTTCCCTGTTAATGCAAAGTTTGATCTTGCAATCACATTTTTAATAAGTGACGGCAACAAATCTGCTGAATTTTATTGTGGACTCGACAGTGAAAAAGTCAGATGAACGATGAGGGGTAATATGTTATCACAAGTTAAGCAAACATCATGGCTGCCGGCCATGAAAACTCATTTCCTAATCAATTACTGGTCAAAGCATAAAAAGCATAACTCAGTTTTATCACCTGGAAATAAAGAGGCTTTGTCCATTTTGCTCGTGCTTGTGCATTTTACTCAATAATGCAATGTAATTGAGGCAGTAGCTGAAGGAAGGAGCAGACGCCATGTTTGTGCTTTTACTACCCTGAAACCCGGTTTGAACTTAGAATTGCTTCACTTATTCACAGTCGAGAGTCATTTCCAGCTACAGTTTGGTCACTTCAACTGTTAAACCTCTTCCTGGTCCGTCCACTTGTTCCCATCTCCGGATATCTGGACCCAGTCATTCATTCCAACCTATTTCGTTAACAAATTCCTCCAAGTCTGCTTCCTGGATCCAACTACCACCCTTTGTGATAAGTTGTTTTTTTGTAATGAATGTTAGATCCTGAGCTTATTCAATCTGTCAAACCAGAAAAACTCCCACGGTTGGCCCGTGTCCGCTGCATAATTGAATAAAATGAGCTCCGGCTCATGACAGAACTGATTTTGCATGCCTGACAACGTAGCGTTATTGATCCCTTTGGGGTTTGGTATGCAAGTCAGCTCAGGTGGGAGGATTTAGTGTCACCCTTTGCTTATAATGACGGATTTGCTTTTTGTGTAGCTCACATCACATATCCATACAAGTCTGCTAGATACCAAATACAGTCCATTCTGTGCTCATGTAACCCTCTAAGTCAGAGGGCACTTTGAAAGACTTTCTGCCTGTTTTCGGACAGCCACATATTGATAGGGTCAGTCCGAGCTTTTTCGAACACTCAGACAACATACATAAGCAAAAAAGCTTCTGAAAGCACAGCAGCAGCCTATCGAGACTCACAGATGGGCTCATTAAGGAGTTTGTTCCCAACCTGCTCCTGCAGAGGTGTGTTTTTCAGAGGCTCTTTTCAAAAGACAATAGGGATGCAAAGAGGAAGGGTGTTTATCAGGATAAGAAATGAATCAATTTGCAAGCGTGATTCACGGCCCAGTTTTCCCACACAGAATCCAGCTGGCCCCTTGATACCTAGTGTGTTTCAAACACATCCCTGCACAGTGGCGAGGGGATCTGAGTCCTCCACCTCAGCAGTGATGCTATAAGGGCCACCTCCCGTACTGTTGAACACTGTTAAATTAATTATTCAGTGTGCGATAAAACGAGATAACAAGACTGGTTAACGGATGTCTCTTTGTGAACCATCACACACTTTCTAATTGACAATTTTGTGTGATAATCTGATTGTAAAAACATCTTATATGGGAGTGTGCTTTGGTCAAACCATTCTGGGACAAAATACTTAGATTCCTAGAGACATGGATCGACGTAACTCTCCCACTATGTCCGTCCTCGTCTATGTCTTTTTGAGACAGAACAGAAATACCCCAGCTCACAAAAGATCCACTGAGTGTTAATGGTTGGGCTAACCTCAGTGGCAAGAATTATACTAAGACACCAGAAGGCACCCAAACACCTAACCCTACATTCCAGGAATGGAAAGTGGTAATGACTGAAAATGTACCATATGAGGTTATGCTGACTAGATTAAGAGGCAAAGGGCAGGTGGTGTTAAACAATTGGGATTTCTTTCACGTATACCTGACTTCTCAGTAGTGGCCTTATTATAAAACTGGGAGGAATGTGAGAATTACAGTTTTCAACCTTGTTATTATATTATAATATTGGTATGTTAAGATACGTGTGCGTATTAGATGCATATATTTATATCATGTTACAATTTTTTGTTTCCCTTTTTTATTTTTCCTTCTTCACCGTCCAGAGCACCTTTTATTTTTACTTTAATTGTCTGACTGTGTGTTGTAAGCTTTTACTTTCAGCATATTGTACCATGCAAGCTTTGTACCGTATTTGTTTTATTGTTTAAATAAAAAAACTTTAAAAAATGATTGTAAAAAAGGGGAAAAACACGAGAAAAATGGACTGTAAATAAAGGGGTTGAAAAGAAATTTCTCTACCAGGGGGTCCTCGGTTCAGACAGAATGATTATGTGTTTTAGAGAAGCTTCTGTGAGGCTTTGGTTTTTTAACGTGGAGGAATGAGCAGTTAAAAAACGTCCTGGTTCCAAAGCAAGATGAATTGCAGCTGCAGTTCCTCTTGTTGTGGCTCTACTTCTGGGAGCTGGTGCCCATCGCAGACGCTATTGGCTGAGAGTCAGGGTACGCACTTGACAACGGATCACATGGCCACACAGAGACAACCAAGACACACAACCATCCTAACACACACTAACTCCAATGGGCAGTTTACAATCTCCAATTGAACCTTACATGCATGTTTTTGGAAAGAGACAGTGAGCTGGAGTACCTGGAGAGAACCAGAAGAGAACCCCATGCATACTTGGGGAGAACATGCAAACTCCAGGATTCATACCAGGAACCCTCTTCCTGTGAGGCAAGGGTGCTGATCCAAAATCAGTTTTCTGAGACCAAAATAAATAAAAGATTGATTAGAGAAGATGAAAAAGAATAGACGGGTTAGTAATTGTTTCCAGCTGCACTATTCTGAGTACTATAATGGTGTTCAAGATTTTTTTGCATAAGAAAAACCCAAGACAACGTTTTGTGAAAGGAAAGGCGATAATTGGGTCCCACAATTCATCGCATCCGCAAACCATCAATTACGTTCTTCCGGTTTCACCATTATGTGGGTTGCTTTTCAGAGTTTTTTGCTCTGCTTCTTTTCTGAATGATCAACCTCGGTGTTCAGTTCAGTTCATTTGTGTTTCTGTTGCACC